AGAGTTGTTGGAGAGGAATGTGGGCGAATATATAAAGAGAGACAGAAAATGGCCCAGTTGTCGTCGTAGCACCCGAAATATTAGAATATCCCACGCGCGTAATACAATCCCGATTCTAAAGGTAACCAAATTTAGCATGTGCTAGCAGACGCCCTCGAGACATTTGTATACGTGCTGACTCATGTCAAAAATGAAAACCAAATGATTTGTCGTTAAATTATTAATTAATATAATGCACTTCATAAAATATCATCTCAGGATTATAACAATAGTACGATGCATATATAGATATAATACATTAATACCAAATTTCTAAAGTACTTTTGTAAAATATTTCTAGAAATGAAAATAATAATATTATATAAAAATATTTTTATTTATTGAGGTTATGTTATGTATTTTGACCTATTTATGAGGTGATGTTTACTGATTTTAACCTAAAAACCCAATGATCTTAGAAAAATGTTACCATGAATTTAGACATTATGTTTGCCCTCTTGACTATGAATTTTGACCTAATTTTGTAGGTTATGTTTCACAAAAACGGATTTAAAATAATATGAAATATATAATTTCAACTTTTTCTTCTGTTTAAATTATAAGAAATATATACACTACCGTCCGAAATTGTGCGAACGCTTACACCGCGAGTCATTGAAAAACATACTCGCGTGAAAATAAAGATAACTCTGAGAGAAATTAACGTAGAGACTTTTCCCTTATAGCGTTGGAAATTTTATTAAATTTCGAAAAAAATGATATCTATTTGAATGAGATTCCTTAAATAGGTTTAAATATATCATGTTACAAAGTTGAAAAAATAAATTGTAATTTTTTGCTTACACTGAGAGAAATGGATAGTAAGAATTTGATAGTAAAAAGAAAGATTGTACAAGGTACTATCATTGTGTTATTGACAAGAATCTACTATCAACATTTTACTATCCAAGATGTTACCCAAAGACGTAAAATATGTTAGCTTTTGGATTGTAGTCACTACTATCAAATATTGTAAAAATTAAATGTGAGCGCATGCGCTGATTGTGGTGTATACTTCGCCTATTCAATTGCGGTCCTTGTGTTTTCACGCACGTGTCTATATATAGTGAAAAAAGTTGTGAATAAAAAAATGGACGAGTTTATTAAAAATTTATTAATGTCGTGGAATATGGAATCTTTGATTCCATCTTTTGGAGGTACTTAGGTTTATTATTTTGATTGAATTAGCGAAGACTGAAGTGTGAACGTGTTTATAACCTCAAAACAATTTTGCGTTGTTTAGACGGTGAAATTGATGAAGAATCGTTTTACTTACTGAACAATGATACAATATCACTCATTATACCAAAACCAGAACCTCGCTTAAAATTTTTTAAAAAATTTCAAGATTACAAAAATCAAGTAAGTTTTTTTTTCGTTTGTATAAATATACATGTGTTTATTGAAATTTTTTTTTGGAAAAAAAATTTTTTCATATTTTTTCTTTTTTAAACTTAAAAATTAGTAAAATAATACAAATTCAATTGACTCTGTGAAAAAAATATACCGTTTGATAAATATATTTATGTTTAAGCAAGTCCTTTTTATAGACGGAGTGAAAAAATAGACATACTCTTTTTTATGTAAAAAGTTTAAAGTTTAAATTCTTATCGAAATGTCTTATTAAAATAAAATGAAATTATTTAAGTTTACAAAAAAAGCGAGGTTAGGTTCGTGTATATTTGCCACTCGAGAACGTAAAGAGATCGTATAAAATTTTTAACATCAAAAATTGTAAATTGTACAATCAAATTTCTATAATCATCTGATAGTAAATACTACAATCTTTATCGCTGTCTGTATATTTAGCACTAAATATGGTTGCCCTTAACATCATTATGTTACCCAGTAGCATAAATTTCTCTCCGTGTATTTCCTACCTTGACATTAACCTCTTGCATGGCCCAGGAAAATCGACGAAAAAAATTGTCCTTTAACATAATTATTCCTTGAAATCTAAGCTTTTCATTGATTCCAAGAACAATAAAAAATGTTGACGGGTTTGTCAGTAATTAAAAGAAAGGACGAGCGTGCACGAAAAAAAATTCGACCGTCAATCGCTCGATTTTCCCATCTCGCTGCCTCTTTCGTTCGTGCGCCAGGGCCGAAACAGAGGATTTTGATTAGGCGCTTTCCGGGCACCATTAATTTCATTATTTTTGCCTTTTTATGAACATAAATTATTTGTATAACGCGAAAGATATCATAATTGTGTTATAAGTTAATTATACAGTTATTAAAATTAAATAAATGTAATAAAATTTATATATTTCATTATTCAAAAATTCAATTTGACCAACGTGGTTTTTGATTCTTAATAATAAATTGTTTAATGATTATAAATATATTTTAATTTTTACAAAACTTTAATTGTATAATTGAAGAAGACTGAAGAAGGGGGACTTAAGAAACAAAAAATTATAGATTATGTTAACAACAGTTTTACATTAATTAAAAGTTTCTTTATATTTATATTAGCATCAAAATCAACTTTTATTGAATATTTTCGATATAATGGAATAAGAGGTATAATCATAGAGAGTTGTGTATATATATATATTTTCATTTAAAAATTTCAAAACATAACCTACAATTTTTGTGCTTCTTAGATCCCTTTCCTTAGAGCGAGAAAATTATTCTTTTTTTGAGAACACCCTAAGAGGGAAAGGAATATTATATTTAGCTAAATAAAATATTGTTCAATATTAATATAATTATTTTGATTTGTCGAATTTTGAAATCTATATCACAACACAGGGAAAACGATGAAAATAGTCGAGACGCAAACTCAATGTGTCATTTTAATCGGTTAATTGCAGCGATAAATCGACAAATGATAAAATACCATTAAATTACGTGAAATATTTCGTATTAAATATGTGTCTCCTTGTAAAATATTGCTTTACTTACATTATTAATGTTAATTTGAAAATATCGCAAATATATATATATATAAATTCAATCTATATTTCTCATTAGATACTACATTTTTTATTATCAAAAAAAAATTCCAATTTTGATTTTTTGTTTGTATTATAAATTTCGTTCACTAATATTAGATGATATTTATATATTATATTAAATAAACATATTTTTTCTATTCGACAAATATTACGCAGTTATAAGTAATCTAAGAAAATTATTATATTATATAAACAATGTGAATATAATTGCAAATAAATTTAAATAAATTAATTTCAGTCTCAATAAATGTTACACAATTATTATACGTTTTATTTTTGATCAAACTCTATCATTTTTAGATAGTTCCGTTAAATTATAAAAGAAAAAAATTATTTTTATTAGAATTTTTTTTTTCAATAAATTTTTATTTAACAGAATTTTTAGATATCAAATTTTTATTCGACAGAATTTTTAAAACGCCGAATTTCGATTTGTCCATAATTTGCAAAATGTTCGAACAAAAAAAAAGATTTTGGCACAATTTTGAAAAATTCACCAATCAGAAATTAAGAAAATTATTGTGATTGATGAATTTTAAGAATTACCTAAAATAAGTTCTATATTAAGTAAAAATTCCATCAAATGCTAATTCAAAAAATGGAAATTCGTCTAAAAAATAATTATATCTGAACAAAAATTTCTGTTAAAATTTTTCGAGGAATTCTTTAAAATAATCTATAAATAAATAAAATAACTTTTTTTTTAAGTTAAAAACTGATGATAAAAAGAATTGTATTAAAATTTTGCAGAATAATTTTATATTTTTTTTTATATTTTTCAGTATATTTTATTTAAATATTACTGATAGGCAAATTTTTTTTTAATAAAAACCTTGAAAAACCTTGGCTTTATTATCACGACAGTTCTAATGTTTAATCAAATTATTTACACAATCTTTTTAAATAACGCATTTGTTAACATATATTATAATATACTTACTATTTATGGCGTAATTTTATCTTCTGCGTTGTTTTTTTTTGCAAAATATTTAAACTTTGTAATTTAATTTAATTATTATTAAATTAAATTAAATTGCTTTCAAATAGTTTGAGAAATATTACAAGGCGAGTTTTGTAAATAAGCAGGGATACCAATCTCTGAAAACGAGATGATCTAAATTTGGCGGGAAATTTGAATTTTTTTTCAAAAATTTTAATTATTATTAAAATTCATTATTACTTTCATTGCATTAATTAAATTATTAATAAGTAATTAGATAATTATTAATATTAATTCATTTTTAATAAAAAATTAATAAAAAGCTGCCTATAAAAAAAAAATTAAACATCCTAAATATAAGCGTTATGGATGCAATGATTGCAATTTGGCAGCAATTTTATGTATTAAATTTTAAATAATAGATGATTATTAAAGAAAATTTGAGGAAAATTAAATGATATTTATTTATTTAAATTTATTTTTCGGCATAAATGCTAAATTTTTACATTTAATTTTTATTGACATATCTTATCGTGACTTTAGTGTAAATAAAAGCACTAATACATAAACATTTATACGCACTATATATAGGGGATTGAAAATCATTTTATGATATTACTTCATATAACTTCAGGTATGTTTGCGAAAAAAAAATCTTCTTTCATTATTTAATTTTCATTTAAAAAAAAATTATTGTAAATTATTAATTAATAAATTATGAATTATTAATATTATTATTATTATAATTATAATTAAATAAAAAAAAAATTTGAATTTTTCAAACTATTTTAAAAATTTTTTTTTTTTTTTTTGAAAAAGCGTAACACGTGTTACATAGAAAATTAAATACATCTATTTTTATATATTATATTCATTAGGAGATTCCCCTAAGTCATTCTATTCTTGTATTCAATAAAAATCACTGTTTTCCCAAAATACTTAAGTTTTAAATATGAAAAGAATAAAAAAAGAAAATTTATTTTTCAATTCATAATTATAATGAAAAATTACTTTACTGTTTAATATTAAAAAAAAAAATCCATTTTTTCTTACAGAAAACGAAAATTTACAACTGACGTTTAAAAATGGCATTAATTTTCAATTTCCTTTTTGGATTTAGTTTAATTCTCAGAGTTTTGTCCCTTGAGCAATGTTTACAAATTGATTCCAATGAGATTGCAGAAACTTTACAGTGTGGCAATTTTACAGCAAAACTTGGTTTATATTATGAGAATTTTTTGGAAATAACATGCAATAACAATGTTGATTTATCAATATTTGATTATAATTTAATATTTAAAAAAAATATTACCTACGCTGAGAGAAGAAACATTATTTTTATTAATTGTACTATTTTAGAAAGTACTAATTTCAAAAATATCGTTCAACATATAAACAATGATATTGGTTTAAATATCATTCAAATATTAGAATTTTCACAAAGTAATAAAATAATTTTATCACAATATAATTTGGAATTATTTAAAAATCTCGATTATTTAACTATTGAAAATTGCAATCAACTTAAAGTAAAACCTCACGCATTAGATAAATTGCAATTAATTTCGGTAATAAAATTTCAAAAAATTAAATTAATTCTCTTTAGTCGAGAAATTTTTCAAAAATTACAAAATTTAGAAAGCATATATCTTGTTAATATTAATTTAGCAAGAATTCCAAGAGGACTATTTCACGGTTTAACAAAATTGACACTAATTAATCTCAAAAACAATGTTTTAACCACCATTAACGATGAGGATTTTTCAACTCAAATAAATTTAATTGATTTAATTCTCGAGAACAATAAATTAACAAAAATTTCAAAAAATTTCTTTAAATCAAATCAATTGGAAACAATAAATTTAAAAGGAAACAATATAAAATATTTAGATGATAAAATTTTTAATAATCAATCTAATCTAATAGATTTGGATTTATCTGACAATAAATTTCAAATGATTTCGAAAAATTTATTAAATGGTTTAGAAAAATTATGGATTTTATCATTTGAAAATAATGAAATAAATTTAATTGATGATAATGCATTTAATGATTTATCAGCGTTGAGACATTTGAAACTTGGTCATAATAAATTGACAACAATTCCAAAGAATTTTTTTCATGGATTAAAAAAATTAAAAGTACTTACACTTGAAGAAAATAAATTGAAAACATTGGATAATTTAAGTTCACAAATTTTGCCTGATCTTAAAAAATTGGATTTAAGTCACAATCAACTCAATGGAATTCCAGATAATTTTTTAAATAAATTGTCAAATATGAAATATTATAATTTGGAAAATAATAATTTTTTCATCGTTATAGATAAATTACGACAACTCAAATATGTACAAGACACCGATTAATTCCAATAAATTAGCGACGAAATTTCTTTTTTCATATATTATTTAAAATTTGTACTGGTTTAATTTCAATTTTTTTTTGATGTTTTAAAGTAAATCAAAAACAGATTTTTACGTTTTAAAAATTAGGGAAAATTGTAATTATTATTAATTATTAACAGTTCTTGATAGGAAAAAAAAATAATGCAAACACTCAGCTTTTTTTCCATATTGCTGTTAGTATCGTTATTGTTAACTAGTTTTATTAATTTTATGCGCATTGTTCTGAACTTTAAAGAACTATGAAATATTTAAATATTATAGAAATAAATATAAAATAAAACAAAAAAAAAATTTTGTTCACATTATTCTGACAATTTAACTGATCAGTTTTATACCAAAAAAAAAAAATAAAATCTCAAAATGAGATCAAAAATTAATTTTACATTTTATTTTCAATTTACGGATATTCGTCTATAAAAAAAGTTTTTTTTTATGTGATTCTGATTAAAAAACAACTTTTAATAATTCATCTTACATTATTAAAATCATTCATTTAAATATATGATTTTTTTTTCTGAAATTATTTTTCTCTAAATGAAACAATTTTTTGGTAAAAAAATACATATATATATATTTCAACTTATCTTTTGCTTCTTACACGAATCTTTAAGGTTATGTTAGAAATTTTTTTTTATATAAGATACACTACCGTCCGAAATTGTGCGAACGCTTACACCGCGAGTCATTGAAAAACATACTCGCGTGAAAATAAAGATAACTCTGAGATAAATTAACGTAGAGACTTTTCCCTTATAGCGTTGGAAAGTTTATTAAATTTCGAAAAAAATGATATCTATTTGAATGAGATTGCTTAAATAGGTTTAAATATATCACGTTACAAAGTTAAAAAAATAATTGTAATTTTTTGCTTATTACCTACCTTGACATTAACCTCTTGCATGGTCCAGGAAAATCGACGAAAAAAATTGTCCTTTAACATAATTATTCACATTTTTAATAAATAATACAAACATAGATGAAATATGTCATAAAATAATATTTTAACAGATGCGACTAGCACTCTCCGAGTTATGAAACGTCTATTATGTGAAACTTCTCCCAGAGTTGGGAAAATATATAAAAACTATTAAGTATACTTGCTTTTATATATTTATTTATTTATAATTATTATTTAACGTGCCCTTAAAAATTAATTATTAATAAATAATTAGACATTTATTTATATTTAATATTAATTCATGTTTAATAAAAATTTAAAAAAAAAAATTAAATTGTAGAAAGAAAAAAGGTTGCGTAACGTAACACGTGTTTTATAGAAAATTAAACATTTCTATTTTTATACACATTAAGAGATTCCCCTAAATTACAATCTATTTTTGTATTTAATACAAGAAAATTTTCCTAAAATACCTAACTTTTAATATAGGTAGATAAAAATGATAAAAAAATTAAAATTTATTTTTCAATTTCTGTATAAATTAATGAAAATTATTTTATAATATAAAAAGAAATTCAATTTTTATTTACAGAAAACAGAGAATTACAATAATATAAATTTAGTAACATAACCTAAAAAATTCAGTTCAACTCACTTTTTCTTTCATGGAGTACTACTGGACTACTACTGCACCCTGTTCTAGTAAAAATTTAGTGACTTTATTGTTAGAATTAAAAGTTACTATAAAGTTACTAAATTTTCACTGAAGCAAAGTGCGGTAGTTGACGAGAATTTATGACAAATGGCGAGTGGGGACAATGGAAACCAACTATATTGAGTTGAATCACATTTTTAAATATTGTAAACCGACCTTAAGTGCGACATCAGGCCAAAGCCTGTCCGCCATTTGGCATAATTCTCGGTCAACTACCGCACTTTGCTTCAGTGAAAATTTAGTAACTTTATAGTAATTTTTAATTCTAACAATAAAGTCACTAAATTTTCATTGAAGCAGGGTGCCGTTAAACTGGAAAAACAGAATTTATTCAATTATAATAAAATCAAAATAGAATTTTATCTACACCCACTGTAAGCAATGGTTTTAGGAATTTAATTTTTGTAAATATTAATTTTTTTTAAATATGTAATTGCAAAAATGCTACCTTTCCGTTTATTTTATGCGCAGAACAAAATCCGAAGGATTGCATTAATGCGCAATGGAAATGTGAAGGAGGAGAATTAAATTAGATTACATAAATATTAGGCAAATTATTAACAAGTAAATTTAGCCAAAAAAAAAATGTAAATATAATATTTTTAAGTTCAAAAGAGAAATTTCTCAAGAAAATAAAAATATATATAAATGTTTCCGCGAAGAAATGATTTATTTAACAAAGCGGAGACAATCGCGCCTAGGGTCAAAGTACCGATGATCGTCGTCAAGAATACAGAAATGTAAATGTTATATTTAAGTCAGGTGGATGCTGCTGTGAGGGGGATGCTGCAAACCAAGAGATGAAGAATGTGGGGTCAATGTGACTCTATCTCGAGTTCGTCTATGCTGCCAAACGTCTAACTTTATCTCAACGTGAAAAATGCACACTATTATACACATAATTGATATCCTATTGGCTAAAATGTCACAAAAATTGAGTTACCGACAAATATGGTAGCTCTCCATTTTCGGCAAAAAAGATTATAAAATCTGTTTTTATTCTTATTCTCATTTCTTTACTTTTTTCAAGGAGAACAAAATTATTAAATTTTTAATAATCACATTTTTATTTTATAAAGATTAAAAAAAAAAATTTATTTTTGGTTCATCATTTTTGAATATGTCTAGTTCTGTGAGTTGAAATTTATTATTTAAATGCAAAATATAATTCATAATTGGAAACCGAATTTCTTGGTTGGAAGCGAATCTGCTATTTCTTTTTTTCGCCAATTTTGATGAAATTTATATCCACGCTCTTCGCTTTCACCATTTTAGGGTCATCGAATCAGTATATAATTTCATCAGGTTTACTTAATTAATTCCTTCATTCTCCATCTATATTAATTTTGTTAAAGTCTCTAGACGTTTTCATAATTGATTCACGTTTACGCTTTCAATTAATGATTATTCGATAAGAGCGATATATTATTTAAAAACGTTTTATTATTCATTTGTCATGTCGTGAAATTATAAATTTCAAATACAAATATTTCAACTAATAGTCTTTGTAAATTAATAATAATAATAATATAATAATAATTTTAAAAAAAATTGTATATTTTTTTTAAATATTTTGAATTAATTTTTTATAATTAATTTTCTAACTAAAAAGTTCCCAAAAAAAAATTTGGATTTATTTGTTTACAATTAATAAAATTGTTAATATTACAAAATCGGTTTTTAAAAACCCCCAATTTACTGTTTTTTTGGTTTAACGACATTTTGAAAAGTCGTGACACTTCTACAATAATTTTATTAGTTCGTGGCGTAAAATTACATTACGCCACGTACTAATAAAAATTACTGTAGAAATACTTTCGGTATAATGACATTTTGAAAAGTCGTGAGAGTTCTATAATAATCTTATTAGTTCATGGCGTATGATTTATGGCCTAAGCACAACTGAGTCGCTTGTGCTTAGGCCTTTAAGGCCAACGCACAATAGATTCGCGAACGTTAAGCATAAAACAGAAAGGGATAGAAGTATATTTATCTTCTCATGCAGCACGTTCGCGAAAATATTGTGCATTGGCCTTAAAATATACGCCACGAACTAATAAAATTATTATAGAATCATCACGACTTTTCAAAAATTCCATTAAATCGGAAGGACTTCTACAATAATTTTACTAGTTCATGACGTAATAGTTGGTTTCCATTGTCCCCACTCGTCATTTGTCATAATTTTCATTAACTACCGCACCCTGCTCTAGGGAAAATTTAGTAACTTTTAATTTTAACAATAAAATCACTAAATTTTTGCTAGAGCAGAGTGCGGTAGTTAACGAGAATTATGACAAATGGCGACAATGTAAATCAACTGTATACGCCACGAACTAATAAAATTATTGTAGAAGTGTCACGACTTTTCAAAATATCGTCAAACCGGAAGGACGTATTTAATGTATTCCATTTAGAATTTTTTTTCTCAATTCAATAAAGTTTAAAAAAAATTATTCAAATAATTAAAATTCAAACTTTTGAAAAATAAATTTTTTATCTTTCACTTTAGATGAAAAATTCCAATTCGGGCTTAAAAAATATTGAGGTTCTTTTTTTTTGCATGTATGTTTATTATTTTTAAACATTTTTTTTTTTATTTTTGAAATTAGCTTAACGATTACCCAAAGAGATAAATATTTAAAGATTATGTAATCGAAAGAAGAATTTGAAAAGCAAATTTTCCGCAATTAGCGCATGCCACTTTCGGTTCGTTCTCGGGCTAGTTTAGTTATTTTGATACGGTATGATTTCATCGCTTTGCGCGCAGCTCATTTCATAATTCTCTCTCTCTCTCTCTCTCACTCTCTCCCTTCCGGAAATGCTGGACTACACTAATTTCGATAATTTAGATCAGTTGTCAGATAAAATTAGTATTCACTAAGGTTAAATTATTAAATATTATTTTTTTTTTGTTTGATAAAATTTAAAAATTTTAACTTTTTCTTTAAATCGATAATAATATTGAGATTTCAAATTTCGACGAGTCATCTTATTTTTTAGCCTAAATATTAAAAGATTAAATTATCGAAAAATAGAATTCCATATATAGTCGAATAACCATTTTATCGAATTATTCAAAAAGTTCGAATAACCAAAAGATTAAATTTTAAGAGATTAGAATTATCAAAAATTCCAAAAAAATAGATTTGTTAAAATTTCGAATTTTTACTCACTTGTGAGTTTACTTTCTATATATGTTTATATAGCCATAGTGGATTTTATTTGCCAGCGAAATTCAAAATCGATATAGAATTTTTAAATTTCGCGCGCAAATATAATCGACTATGACTATATAAATCATAGAAAGTAAACTCACATGAGTAAAATGATAATTCAATCTTTTAATAATTTGAAATTCCAAAAATTCGTTCTTTTTTTGTTATACGAACTTTTGAGATTTATAGGAGAAAAAAAATGAGGTGACTAATAAGATTTTTTTATTTTTATATTTTAACTTTGAATGTACATTATCTGATTCAATTATTCCAAAGAATTTCCGATGGGATTCCGATGGAGTGCCGACAGAGTTCCAACGGAATTAGGCCTCTAAAAATTTTGAAAAAAATTAATCGGAATTCCGTC